CATTTTTTTAATGTCAAATATATGATCATATGTAAAAGATAACTCCACCTCCAATTACATGTCATTTTGCTTTTGTTATAATTAGAATAATTAGAATTTTATTGATTATTTAGGTGGATTAATTATAAATTATATCAGTTTAATTTACAGATCACATCAATTCAGCATGAATTATTTGAAATATATTAATTTATGTTACTATTAATTTAGCATCAATATACTTCTATCTTTCAAATAATCATTAGGAACAAAATCAGGAAAGAAGAAAAGAGTAAGAGTGTATTTGATATTGCGGCAACTATTATAGTTATGATTTGAAAAAAAATATTTTATAAAAAATACTTTTAGTTGAGATTAGTCTGGAAAAAATATATATTTGGTTAAAACTGTGGTTGAAAATAAAATTAAACAAAAAATAGTTTAATGTGTTTGATTATGAGATCGGACCCGACAAGAACATAATTGGAATTGCGATGAAATTCCACAAATGCTATGTTATCATGCGATATCTTTCTAATTTATGTAGCGTTATTAAATAATATTAAATACTAGTTTCTCAAGTGAAACATAATTTTTTAAAAAAATTTATAATTTCATTATATACAAAATTTATTCGGCAAGAACTACAAAAAACATGATTTTATGAGCATGCAATAAAATTAAGTAAAATATACAGTTTTCATGATTTTGTGAGCATGCAATAAAATTAAATAAAATATTATCAGGAATAAAATTAAGATTACAATACGAATAAATTTAATTCACTTTTAACTAACTTTTTTTAAAAATAAAAATTATCATTTATATTTACATGAACAGTGCGAGTGAAATCAATTAATTATATTGATTTTTTTTAAAAAAACTATAAATTAATTAAAAAAACATTATTAAGTGAACAATACTCCTATCAAAGAATGCTGCATTGTTTAATAAACAATGCAGCATGGTGCAGTCATAAAAAATAGGTAGCATTTACTTTTGTTTTCCTGCGTTTTAAACATATAGTTTAGTGAGACCCATAAATAATAATTTATATTTTTTTAGATTATTAGATATTATTGTATATGTATTTTAAATAAAATACAGACACAACAACAAACACGCTATAAATGTATTTATTAACAACAAAGTCGATATTCGTGAAACAAACCCATTTACTGGAGGAAGAAAGGGGAAATGCACCTTGCAAGGTCTGTCCGTGTTGCTGTTGCCATTACAAACAGGCAACGGCTGCCAAAATCATGATCATGTTACATGGTCGTCAACGCAGATAGAATATTATTTTTCCTGTCGAATCCTATTTATTTATTTTTACTTTAAAGACCTTTTATACGAAATAAGATTTCTCTTCAATTATCCATATCTCGACTTATCTCACTGTCATTTTTTTGAATTTAAATCCATAAAAATAATATAAAAAAAATCCACTTACCATGTAAAAATATAGTATAAATATACATACACAGTTGAAAAGATTCAGTGACTTTTTATAAGTCTAGTAAATCTTATTTTTCAAAATATTATTTATTTATTTTAAGTGCATGATGTAACGGGCTTACAATTAACTTGACTCACGTGAAGCATTTAAAGTTTATTTGAAAATGTTATTATGACTGCTTTTTAAATAATTATTTGTATTAAAATGTATTAAATACGTGTTAATTATTTTTTTATTTTTTAAAAATTATTTTTAATATTAATACACCAAAATAATTTGTTATTTTATTACCATTACAAATATTAAGAAAGCTAATTTGATAAATGATTAAAATCTGGAAAGGTGGTTTGCTTACACAAGAAAGTCAAAGTGATAATGGTTTCTCATAGGTAGTCGTTGCTGTTTTTTCTTTGTTTTTTTGAATGATATTTGGCGCCGTATGCTACCATATCTTAATTTCGATCATAGCTTGTGTAATTTCATTTTTTATATAAAAACGATGTGGTTATATTTTTTATTATTCTATATAAAATTTATTTGATAGATTAAAATAATTTTATATTAAAATAAATATAAAAAATAGCTTGGATGTAAAATTAATAGTATCTTAACAATTTGATGATATATTTGATATTTGTATTTATTTTAAAAATTAATAGAATTATTTAAAAAAAATATATTTCTATTTTAAATACCAAAATATTCAAATCCAAACCAAAATTACTAAAGACGAGTTATTAAATACTCAAGTGCATTGACTTTTTACTCGTATAAAAAAAAACCTGTTATAATAACTAGGTTATATCTTATTTTTACAAGAGAAAGTAATTTCATGATATTCAACAAGTAATTGGTGACATCATGTTAGTTTTTTTAGTAATTTTAACCAAAAGAGGTATAATTATGAAAAAAAATCTTATATGAAATATTTTTATTATTTATTATGAATTTTATATTATCCCCCCTGTTAAATTTGAAAATATTTCAATTTAAATCAAATTTAGTAATTAGTAACATCATTTTAGTTTTTTTAGTCATTTTAAACAAAAAAAAAGATACAGCTATAAAAAAAATCTTATATGAGATATTTTTAAAGAGATACAGCTATAAAAAAAAAAATCTTATATGAGATATTTTTAATATTTTTTATGAATCATAAATTTTATATTATCTCTCTTATTTAAATTTGAAAACATCTCAATTTAAATCAAATTCATTAAAGATGAATTATTCAATACTCTCCTAACTAGTGGTATTATATTAGTTATTTTTTTGGAGTCACTTTAAACAAATAAAAAGATATATCCATGAAAAAAAATATAAGGAGGGATATTGTTATTATTTTTGACGGATTATGAATTTTATATTATTATTTTTCAACAAAAAAAAACTAATAAAATACCTACTCCATAATAAAAATTTTCAAAAAAATAATCACAATTGTTGAGGTGGCCTCTCATAACACCACCTCACATAAGGTGATATCTCGTGTTCTCATCCTCCTTCAGGGCTTTTCTTCGCAACCTTCCATGGAGTTCATTTCCCGGTGAACTCTCCAATGGAGCTGTCACAAGATAAACAGAACCTCTCTTTTTCTCAGCAATTAAGTACGAGTCTGGGTGTACTTAGGACTGGGTAGATTATGTTGAAAATTCAAAACAATGCTTTTATTAATAAATGTTACTAACTAAAATCAATCCATTTTAAAATATTGACTTCCGGGATCTTTCTCGCCGTAAATCAAGGCCAGCTGAGAATCGAGATGGAAAGAAAATCAGAGGATCCGGGTCTCACTAACCACGAAAGAGCTTTTGAAAATTTTCTTTTCTTTTGTTTTTGGTCTGCCCTCGGCGGATTCGTATGACCAGGCCATGATGGGTAAAGGTTAGAAAATCTTACATGGAAACTGGGGATTCGGTCCAAAAACAAGCCAACCATTAAAGACCCAAGAATAGTCCTCGCCTAAATTGACCAAATATCACTCACAAAAACAATCCACCATTATTAACTTTCACACGCACAAATTTAAATTTTCGAAAAAGGAGTTCCTAATAATAAGAGAGAGAGGGGGGGATATATAGGAGAGAAAGAGGCAGATAAAAGATAAGCCATTAACTCCGCACCAGTTTCGCCCAGTAACAAGCCTTCATTTCAGTGCCCAGCGAACACCATCTATCCTCAGTTTCTTCTTTCCCTTCATCTTTATCAGGTAATTTAACCATTTGGAACACACAAACACGAAATTTTTATTTTTTTTTGTAAACAAAAGGCCTGTATATTCAGGGAATCTTGCTTAAAGTTTTCTGGTTCTTGAATTTTGAACATAGAGAAAATGGAATTCCGCGTGGAAAAAAGAGCCTTGAAGTCAAGTCTACTTAGAGAACTAGATACAAAAACAACCAGCGAGCAAGCTTTTTGTGAAGATTTCCTGGCTCTGAATACACCTGGTGTTGTTTCATGTGATCAAGATTTCTCAGTTGATTGTTTCCTGGACTTCTCTAATGGTGAATTCAAAGATGGTTATGTGCAAGAACAAGAAGAAGAGAAAGACTCTATTTCTGTTTCCTCTCAAGACCGTGTTGATGATGATTTTAACTCTAACTCCAGCAGTTTCTCTGATTCTTTTCTCGCAAGTGAACTTGCTGTACCTGTAAGTTAAAAGGATTGAATTGTGTCCATTTTTCCCCTTTTTTTATCGACTTTTTGTGTTTTTAATGAAACCCATGTTTTGTTTTTTTGACAGACTGATGATATAGCAGAACTTGAATGGGTATCTCACTTCGTGGATGATTCCGTGTCAGATGTCTCTCTTTTGGTTCCTGCCTGTAAAGGATCTTCAAAGCGCCATGCAAAGAACTGGTTTGAACCAGAAACCAAACCTACTTTCGCAAAAACTTCTTGTGTTTTTCCTTCACGGGTTCCCTCCAAGGCGAGAACCAAAAGGTCCAGACCCACTGGTCGGACCTGGGCGGCTGGGTCGAACCAATCAGAGACACCGTCATCTTCAACATCATCGACCTCGTCAATGCCGTGTCTTGTTGCAACTAACACGGTTCAGACAGCTGACTCGTTATCGTGGTTGAGTGAACAACCGATGAAAAATTCAAAGAAAAGACTGGCGGTTCATACCAGTGGGTTAATGGCTTCAACCCAATTTCAGCGTCGGTGCAGTCATTGCCAGGTCCAAAAGACCCCCCAGTGGCGAACCGGTCCCCTTGGTGCCAAAACTCTATGCAATGCTTGCGGGGTTCGTTATAAATCCGGTCGGCTCTTTCCGGAATACAGACCGGCATGCAGCCCTACCTTTTCGAGTGAAGTTCACTCAAATAGCCATAGAAAAGTGTTAGAGATGAGAAGGAAGAAGGAAGTTGCTGGAGCCGAGCCCAGGTTGAACCAGATGGTTCCTAGTTTTTGAAGGTTAATGACAGGATGTAGGCTTATTCTGAACCAGAGTCAAACCCAGTTTAGATGGAGTCCGGTTTTTTAACCTGAAAACCCGGTTTTAGCCAGTCCGTTTCCAGGGATGTTCTCCTATCTCTAGTATTATCCCTGGTACTTTTTGTAGTGTTTCTTTTAGTTTTGTTTTTGTTTTTAACTTTTTGTTCAGGGCTGATGAATAGAGAGGGCTTTAGAATAGCCAGTTGAAGGGGTAATGTTCAGTCTTTGCCTATTCTTGATTTAATATTCCCAGAATTTTCTGTCTATTTACTGTATAGTATTTGCCTGTAAAATGCCCATTTTTGTCATCGGCTTTGAATATTCAAAACAACTCAGCAATTACCTTAGACTATACAAAAATTGGACTGATGGAGACAATTTAGGCAGGAAAACATGGTGGTGTTAGATTTCAGACCACCTAAACTTTTCAAATTTTGACGTTTGCTGCTTAGCCAGGTGGGTGAACTATGAATTGTTTAGTGGCATGCTGACTCAGACCCATGCTCCCAGTGACAAGACCAAGGGCGAACAAGTCAAGGGTCATCACCGCTTTCAATAATATTTATTTCCAAAGACAACCTTGACTTGCTCGTGCTAGGTAAGCAATTGGTGGCCCTCCATGTGGAGACTGGCCCTCCTTCTGAGGCTGACGGTGGTGGCCGTCTCTCCAGGGACGGGAGCTACCATTATTGCGATGTGGGACACCATTTTCATCCATGTCTTCCACGAGAGCATGATGTTTAATCCAAGTGGTTAAAAAAGAATTCTTCCCTCGTTTAATTTCTTTAATTTAATTCCTAAAATCAACATTTAGAAAAACTGGTATCTCTTGAACAATACCACTCCCATCTGTCTAAAAGATAATAGATTCTCAGAGGGGTGGTGATGATGATTTAGGGCAAGTAAATTGCCAGCATAGAAATGATAGACTCCAGGAAGAAACTCCTTTTCCTTCTAGCTGTAAGCTTAAGAATGAATTCCGGGGATGATCATGATCCCGTCACCTTGCTTTCATGCACAGGAGGAGATTCCGTGACCAGATAGTAACTGGGGGCCATCAATTTGATTGGACATGGAATTTTTTGTAGGGCTCTAAGATTGTAAATATCTCTCTCGCATATCTTGTTTCTCGTAAATCTTTTTTTTTTTTTTAAGAGTCATTCTGGAAATTATGTGAACAGTTCATCATCTACCTTTCGCAGTTAAAACGATGGGAGTGCCGTTGAAGGTTTAATCATGGTCATCGTCCACATTTAAGTTTGCTCGTACCGATCAAGGTAACAACACGAAACAAGTGTAATATGTAAAGTGGATAAAATTATGTGTGGATTAGCAAAGACAACCTAGAAACCGCCGGAGCAGGAGGGTTTCTAAGAGACAACAATTATGAATTGTTATCATTGATCTGAAATTAGTTTAGTCTCTTAGACTTAAACAGATTATTTTATAATTGAATTTTTTATTGGTAATTTAGTTAATTACAAGGTCAACTGTTAAGATAGATATAAATTATATCTTAGTTATGAAAACACGACAGCTTATAATTAAGGACTAAAATATCCGAATTTAATATATATTTTGAGAGGTTAACGCAGCAAAGATTAATTAACAAATTATAATCTTACTAAAAATCTAATTAATAAAATAATTGGATTATTCAAAATCCATTATTAGAGATATTTTTAACTGTGTATTATGATCTTATTGGATCCACTCTTCCTCATCTAATATAGTTTTTTTTCTCAGGCTTGTGGCCCGATTTTCAACCAAAAAAAAAAAACTAAATGGAGGGGCAGGCTTCTTCAGAGCTACACTTGAGGTAATCATTGAATCAAATAAATATATTTTCTGATATACATGAAAATTCCATAAATTCAATAGTAATATTAATTTAATTCATTTTTTTTTAAAATCTTGTACATTAAATGAGGATCTCATGCATTGAATAAGTGAATCTAATACGTAAGAATATCATATATTTAATAAGTGGATTCCGCCAAGGAATCCTTAATACATCTAATGTTTTAGATTTTTTTTAAAAGTGAATTCCATATGCTTAAGCTATAAATTATTTCAGGGGATAAAATCTAAATTTCACTAGTTCTTAGCCATCAAATCTAAATTTCACTGGAGTTATGGGGATATCATTAAGATTTTTTTTTCAGTGTCGGAGCCCCCAGCAGCCACTGCTTGGCATTACCAGAACTATCAATTCAAGGAAAAAGCTAATTTTGTTCAATATTTTTTCTCAAAATTATGTTCCAAATCATCTCTTACATTCAACGCTACAGTCCATGTTAAATCCCATAAATCTGACGGTTGAATTTTTGTTGTAAGAAGTGATTTCGACAAAACCTTTAAATATAATTACCATGGTTCCTGACTATTTCCTACAAGGAAAGACAAAAACAAAAAGGAAAAAAGAATTGAAAATAAAAGTAGATTACACAGATAAGATGAGCGTTTTCTTCCCTTCTTTCCACAACTGTCGCCTGCTGACATCTATCTCACAGGTATCACTGCCTCCCCTTTCAAGGCAAGAAATCTAAGAGAGGAGCATTGCTTGGGTCAAACATTATTCTGAAACCAAAAACACACACATATGAAATCGAGCATAGAGCGTTCGTCAAGTCTATCACTTTTCTTTGGTTTGCTCAACAGATTATGCTGATTCGGTGTCGAATCCTCGGGGGCCAAAAATGCCATAGAACTTCATCAGATGCAAGATCAATTAAACAAGCAACTAATGGGAGGAAGAGGAAAAATAAAATGATGATCTTATTGAAATGGGAATTGGGAATATATATAGAATTCGGAAACAATCCCCGTATTTGACCTTTTCATTTTTAATAATATATTGGAGTTGTGTTTGGTAAATGGTATGTGCATGAGATTCGATGCTAAGCAGGAGAAGTTTTTATTCCATTCTGTAATCTGATTTCTGTTCCACTTCCTCTAATGGGAAGAGTGTGTCCCATCCTTTGATAGCCAAACGCACCCTAGTGACAAGGACTGTGCACTTGTGCTGAAAAAGCACAAAACAGAAATGGAGCCGAGTGGTGCCCGATGACTGGTGGTGATAACAGCAAATCAAATCTGGAAAGTCAAGTGAATCTCCAAATGCGGCCATGAAAATCCAACCACCAACCTTGAAGCCGTTACCTTCTCATATAAAGCAATTTCCCTGAAGAGATGCCTTTTATAGATACCAGTACTCAGCCTATCAGTATAAATGCACCCACTCACTAGGCAATGCATGTTAACCCAAAAAGTCACATTTGTGCCTATCACCAACACACATACATGGATTCTCCCCTACTCCAATCTCTTCAATCTCCATCCATCCTCTTCATCTTAGCCTCCCTATTTGTTTGCATAATCTTATGGTTTCCAATTCGTAAAAAGCTCCCGTACCCTCCTGGGCCAAAAGGGTATCCGATTATCGGCAATTTGGGTATGGTTGATCAACTGACCCACCGTGGCTTAGCCAACCTCTCTAAACGATATGGTGGGCTCTGTCACCTCCAAATGGGAGGCCTTCATGTCGTGGCTGTGTCAACACCAGAAATAGCCCGAGAAGTCCTTCAAGCCCAAGATGTTGTCTTTGCGAATAGGCCTGCAAATGTTGCAATTGTCTACTTGACTTATGATAGAGCAGATATGGCCTTCGCCAATTACGGTCCGTTTTGGCGCCAAACTAGAAAAATCTGTGTCATAAAGCTCTTTAGCCGAAAAAGGGCTGAATCATGGGCCTCCGTGAGAGATGAAGTGGAATTTACTGTTAGACAGGTGTCGGAGAGAACCGGTGAACCGGTTAATCTCGGTGAACTAGTGTTTGCATTAACAAGAAGCATAACGTACAAGGCTGCTTTCGGGTCATCTTCGAACGAAGGGCAAGAAGAGTTCATGGAAATTTTGCAAGAATTTTCAAAGCTTTTCGGAGCTTTTAATGTTGCTGATTTCTTCCCTTGGCTGGGTTGGGTTAATGCACAAGATTTCAATAAGAGGCTAGCCAAGGCTAGAAATTCTCTAGATGGGTTCATAGATACAATCATCGATGAACATATAGCCAAGAAAAATAACAGAAAGAGTCTCAATGCCAAAGATGAAAATGAAGAGGTAGACTCGGACATGGTTGATGAATTGCTAGATTTTTACAGTGAAGATGCTTCAAAAAATAATTTTGATGAATCAAAGTCCACTGTCAAGTTCAATAAAGATCACATCAAAGCTCTCATTATGGTAATGAAATATCATTTTACTCTATGATATCCTCTTATTTATTTATTTTCTTCATCAAAGACATAAATTTAAAATCAAAGCAAGCTGTATTCTTATTTATTACAAGAAGCACACTCCTGTATAATCATGACATCATTTTTAACATTCGATCTCATCCGTTAAAGATTCTTGAAAAATTACATGCGTTTTCATGAACAAATGGCTAGTTTTTAATGGTAGCTTAATTCTGATTCTCTCATTATACGTACTCTCATTTTTTTAAAAATTAAAATCGAAATAATTTTCGGGATAATTAAGAGTATGCTTGTGAACATATAAAAAAAATCCCTTTAATGTTTGCGTTCCTATTCTTTCCACCAAAACCTAGTTCAATGGATTTGAGTTATTGACAGATTTGGAATTATAGAAACTCAATCCTTACAAAAGAAGTAGGTATTTAACTGAAAAATATTGTAGACATAATTATAGGAATTATGTATAAAAGGTCATGCATTTATGGTCAAGATTTAATTTTTATTACAAGATTATACAGACAAAAAAAAAAACTTTATGCTAAGAAATCCATTTATAAAAACATCAACTCTTTAAAAACTTTCGATAAACTATTTCACCCTGGCAAGATACTTATATTATAATGTATTTAAATGCTAATATGTAAATATTCTACCTCACCTCCTAATTAAAAAAATATCAAGCATAATTAATACTTTATTTTGATTTCCAATTCTAAAAATGTTTTAAAATAAGAAAACAAGAAAATATTATAAATTTTAAAATAATAGAATTACATCAAGCTTTCCAAATTATGGAATTGTTTTTCTTTTTATTTATTTATAAGGGATCTTCGGTTACGTTTAATTCAATTAAAATAATTATGATTTATGTTCTTGGTTTTTATTTTAGTCAAGCTTCATATAAAATTATTAAAATTTGAATTATGACTTATTAAATTCAATTAAAATTCTAATAATTTATTTTGATTAAAATTAAAACAATCTATTAGAGATCAGTAAAAGTTTTCTAGATAAACATCAACTTGTGCCTTTACAGGATGTCATGTTTGGTGGAACTGAAACTGTGGCGTCGGCGATAGAATGGGCAATCGCAGAGTTGATGAAGAGTCCAGAAGACCTCAAGAGAGTCCACAAAGAACTCATGGACGTGGTTGGCTTGAACCGGACAGTCCATGAATCAGACCTTGAAAAACTTATCTATCTCAAATGTGCAATGAAAGAAACCCTACGTCTCCACCCTCCGATTCCTCTCCTCCTCCACGAAACAGCAAAGGATACTGTCCTTAACGGGTATAGAATCCCGGCAAGATCACGTGTCATGATCAATGCATGGGCTATCGGGCGTGACCCGAATGCTTGGGAAAACCCGGATAAGTTCAACCCTAGTAGGTTCTTAGACGGGAAGGCGCCGGATTTTAGAGGGATGGATTTTGAGTTTCTTCCATTTGGGTCGGGTCGGAGGTCTTGCCCTGGCATGCAACTCGGTCTGTATGCATTAGAGTTGGCCGTGGCACATTTGCTTCATTGTTTTAATTGGGAGTTGCCTCATGGAATGAAGCCTGCTGAGCTTGATATGAACGATGTGTTTGGACTCACTGCACCAAGGGCTGTTCGACTTGTTGCTGTGCCAACTTACAGGTTGAATTGTCCCCTTTGAAAGGGAAGGAAGGGGAAGATGGCGGTGGTTAATTTTATGCCGTTGTTTCAAGAAGAAGGGGGAGGCCAATCCCTTTTAAGAGACAAGTGCTTCTTTATTTGTCAAAATGGAAGTGGATAATGGTTAATTATTTCTTTAATGTTTTTCTACCTGATTAATAAAACCAAATGTTGTTTATTGTTTCTTACATAGTCACAATATTTATGAATGTTAATGACATGTTTGAAATCTTCATAAAAATAAATCAGATGTGAACCATTACGATCTATAATTCTAAAAAGAAGAGATTTAATATAAAAAATAATTAAAATATCTATCTAACTCTTTTTCTTTAAAAAGATCTTTTGAAGAAATAAGATAAATATGATAAGAATAATATAAAAAACAAAATAAATTCACTTTTTTAAATATATAAATTTAATTTATTTATTATTTGAATTCAAATCAAACAATAATTAAATTCATTTACGGTAAAGAATTGATTCCAAAAGTTATAATATTTTTATTTATTTTATATTTGTTTTTTATTTCAGTGTTTGTGCTTTTTTTTATTTTAAAATGTTTAAGAGTGTGATAATTAATGTTTTTTTAATGTGTAAAAATATAATAATTATTATTTTTCAAAGTATTTTTTTTTATCAAAAACAGATTAAAATAATATTTTTAATAATATTATTATTAATATCAGCATATCAAAATGATTTAAAAATAAAAAAAATAAAAATAAATTTTAAAATAAAAAAATTCTATTAAGACTACTTCTCAAGCTTTGATTTGAAATTGAAACGGAATTTAAGATTTCACTGAGTTGGACTCCCCCTACAAACCTGTAGAACCCCACTGGTTGTGTCTGAATTCATAGTTAACAGGGTTTATGCACCAGTTTTTTGGTAATGAATGGTTGGAATCCACAACATCCATAGGCCTAAACAGATAGTCCTGGTTTATTCTGTCTTTTCGATGGAAAGAGCACCTTGGAGATCTCCTACGTGATATCTGATAAACCAGGACTATCTCTTTCCATCGACAAGACAGAATAAACCAGGACTGTCTGTTTTTTTATATATATATATATAGCAGATTTCGTTTTCTGTGTTTTTTTGTTCTTTTGGTTCTCAACTAACCCACCAACATCACAATCGTAATTCGCAAGCCCACCGGTCAAACTGTCAATTCTTCGTTGAAGGGTTCAAATAGATGCGCCACGAAAACCAAATAAAAAAAAGTCCCCACAAATGACATGCCCATCACTGTTCTGGGACGACACAAGGAGTAGAATAACAACCATTCGCATATAAGAACTTGAGATCAGTCTCAAACGATATTTAGCCGAGAGGCAAAATATAATCAAATATGCATTTTGAAATCGTGTAATTTCATTATAAATTGATATTTAACAAGGTTTACTGTTAAGCCCTTTGCTGAGTTCGGAGAATGATATCACAAGATGGTATTAGAGATATACACAGCTTATAAATATACTAGAAAACGGTTTTCAATCAATCCAATTACCAAAGCGCAGCTAAAAACAATCTCGGCCTCAAGCCATTTGCCACTAAACTGATAAAGGGTCCAGAAAATGTATCCCCCACGTGGGCATGTAGTTTCAGGCATAAGGTATTTTGTACATAGAAATAATCAATCCTGAAACAACAGAACCACCTAGCACCTAATTGAAAAACTGGGAATTCCCAATCGGCCATTAGACTACAAGAAAAGTTCAGGAGAAAAAGAGATCGTTTCATGCATGTCAACTAATCCATAAAGGCAGCTATCCGACTTCTAGAAACTCTATAAAACACAATCTTTACAAAATTAGTGTTATCACACTTGCATATAAGTGCTTCAGGCAAAACAACATCATTGTACAAACTTCATGAAATCGCATCCCATCTATATGTTGAAAAATAGAGGTAACTTCCTAAAGTAAATTCAATCGTTGCCATCTTTTTTTGTTTTTTTTTTTTTTTATATGGCATTAAAGCTAAGGGTTGCGTGAAACAAAGCCTAGCAGAATCCCCATGGGAAAATCAATAACTGTTTTAACCAATTAAGTATCCCTGTTTTTAATACAAAAAATGGCTACCAAACAATTCTACTGTAGAATTCGATTTAGTTATGATGACAGTTGCCATGATAAAAAATGTAAATTTATAATTCTTGTAGAAATTTGGCTATGAATTGGCAGTGCACTACAACAAGATACGGACCGTTGCAATGCCAACTGCACATATGGAGACGAGGGTACCTATGCAGTATTTAATCACATCATATTTTGCTGCTTCCAGGTGGGCTCTCAATGCATGAATTTCCTGAAGACAAAATCAAATATTTTGAATTGAATCAACTTTGTATGTCATTACTCAAAAAGCAGCTGGTAAGCAAACATTATTTTCACTTAAAATCACTATACTCACCCGATCAAGCTTGTTTGTGAGATTGGTGGTTTCTGCATTCTGATTCGCCAGCTCATCACGAATGCGTCTGCACTTAGTCAAAGCATACATTATGAAGCAATTGAAATGCTAAAGTATCAAAATGACATCTCCAGGGGTAACAAGTAGGAATGAGAACGAACACGGATGGCAGAGTGAAATATTTTCCATACACATGGTGACACCTTGGATCACCATAATATAAATTATGTTTTATAACAGGTCTTCAACTTTCATTTTGAATGATAAAAAAAAAAAAGAACATTGAAATCCAACCATCTGTTTTCTGTCTCTCACTCTCCTGTAGTATGGATCTAACTAGACTCTTACCAATCAAAGTAGAATTGTAGAAAGGACCCTCTTCAAATAGCCTAACAACATAAACTCCATATTTGGGTTCTTGCAGTTGAAAATTGAGTAATGAACTAAGATTTAAACAAGTCGAGCACAAATTTTACTTCGGGGACTCTCATTATTAACCCACAGACTGCACATTTAGACTCCATTGCTGGTTGGGTAGATTAGTAATAAAGTTGATTTTTCTTACCCTCTTTCAAGATTCAAATCCAAACGCTGCCCAGCAGTTACTTTATCAATTTCATACCTGTAGAGATAAAATTCTTAAACATGAGCATCGACATAAAAAAACTCGTGTCTCTGGCAGAAAACAACTTCTAGCACAGACCTCAGTTCACTGCGCATTTTATCTATGTCACCTCGTAGTTTTTCAGTCTCACGTTGCAACAAAGAAAAATGATGCTCCTGCATTATGGATAGTTCTTCAGAAAGAATCAACACAACAAACACTAGGGTTAATTACACTAAAATCATCTAGTTCTCCTATTCCAAGGAAATACTAAACACAGATCAGTAATAATCATATTTTATGCTTCTAATTGCTTAGAGAAGCACGGAAATATATTTATATAAAACTGAAGCAAGAGTTCAAGCATAGCAACCCTGTCATTTACATTCTCTACAAAAGACATTCCAAACTAAAAAAACTATTGAAGTAAAAAAAATAGAGTTCTAGAAAGCTAACATGTAGAAATGCTTTTAGGAGGGTATAAAAATCCCACCTATCTAACCAAATTTGTAATGTCAATGCATAGCTTAAAGGAAACACCATCAACGCTCTTAGTGAAACATTTGATACCACATATGGAGTGGCTGATAAACAATAGAACATGAACATATGCTTAATTTATAACGAGCCACACCTCACTCCTCCCTCATTCAGTGACCAATCCACAGGCTTCTGAAAGGCTAAAAAAGTTCTTCCATTGTAACCTCTCTAAGTAATAAACAGTCAATTCTACCATTGACAACCTCCAAATTCTACCCATCAAACCATTTAAATTATTTAACTATTTTTTCTAAGTTTAAACTTAATTTTGAAAAATCATTTGAAGACTAAATTGTATATGATAGTAAAATGCAATGACCAAAATAACTTTCAATTGAGAACTTATATGTAAAAAAGAATATAGGGACCAGAAAAAGATTTTTAAAAAACTTAAAAATCAAAATGCACATTAGCAAAAAAATCCATGGTGATAAGTGTCTATTTCTTATGGTGTTAGTTAATGATGTAAAAATTATGAAAGTACAAATTACCTAAGTAACATTAAAAAAAAAGAAGTCAATATGTCTTTTAAGTACAAAATAGTACAGGGGTATACAGAAATGTTAGCCCTAAAAAACATCCAGGTATTTTCAAGATCAAATAATTAAGTTCAGGAACCCATTAAAGACAACTGTATTGCACAGGTAAAAGGATAAAAGAATTAACACTCCAATAACATCCTAAACCCTAAAAATACATTAAGACAAGATCCTAGAAAACAGACAATTATACGTGATAGAAATCAATCAAATTCACAGTACCTGAGAACTCTGTACTTCAGACTTAAACTTGGACAGATTTGAGTCTTGAATCATTTCACTCTACAAAATTCCCAAAAATAAAGCAAACATCAATAGTTTTTCAAAAACAGTACAAACATGAACACTTTTTTTAAAGCGCAGGAAGGACACATCAAAGTCGGAAAAAAAATTACTACCTTCTGCATTTCTGCCTTAGAAACAAAAGAATAAGCGACATTCTCCAAACTATCATTCAACACTTCAGTAATCGCAGCCGTAATAGCCTCCGCTTGCTTCGACGGCACGCCTTGCGCTTCCAATCCTCTCACCTTCAAGAGGAAAAAAAAATCAGTTATTTTCCAATTATTTGGACAGAAACTTGGAAATAGAAACAGAAATTAAAGTAACTTTACCAGTGCTAAAGTATCAACGAGAAATGCGCGTTTATTGTTGTTAGGTTTAACGAGCTGCGAAATATGCCGGTAATCAAATCTGTTACCAAATGAACTAGAAGATGATGGGTTAATCGCTCGAGATTTTGCAAAGAAAATCGCAGAATTAACGCCTGATCTAACCACTCGACTGCAATGAGCCATAAAAAATTCTGTTGAGAAAAAAAAAAAAAGAGGGCTAAACTAATCCGCACAAAAAGGAATTAAAGTTTGTGCATTTTTTTTATTTTTTGTATTAAAGGAGAGTGATCCAGGGAAATGAAAAATTCAGGGAGAGGTAGGCGGGGATTTGATGTAGTTATTGTT